GAGGAGGTGGTGGTGGTGGCGTGGCGGCGTCGTCGCCTCGTCGGAGCGTGTGGCGGGGAGAGAGGCCGGGCGAGGCAAGCAAGTCCGGTGGAGGAGAGAAAGCGACGGCTGTGACACTGATAGACTCAGGGTAGCTGCGCGGGCCCCGCACGATGACGTCCGTGTCCATCCTGCCCGGCCCGCGTTGGCTCCGCTGTTGGGCCTGGCTGCTGCTCGGAAGAGAGCGGGCTGGCCCAAACATAGCTGTTTTTCAAAGTTCTGTGTTTTTTTTTTGTCATCATCAGTGTGTGGTGATCGTGGTCCTTTTGAACAAATTTACTTTGCTTCTTTCTTGTCGGCGTGGTCTGCGCCCTTGCAGATCCGGTTATTCGATATGATGAGTTTACGTTATTCCGCCGTGTTATTTTTGCTGGCTTGTTTCTTTGTGGAGCTGGAATTTTACCTCGACGCCATAGCGAAGACCTGGTGGTCTGATGACCTTGCGCTTATAGGGATCACCCCTTCGGCACAAGTACATTTATCGCTCAGGGCTTACCATCTTTTTGGATGAGCGACTCAAGGGCCTTTCGAAAACGTTTATTACTAATCAAGTTTCTGTGGATGAAAGAGTACCTAGTTGTATCGGCGTTTCGACCAACTGCAACATCTTTATTGAAGTATATTGAGAGTATTTCGTCCTGTAGAGCTTGAGACCATGGAAAACAAGCATGTCTCCATGAGATATTAATGTAATCCTTAGTCTTATGATACCCCTCCCATACCCCCTCGCGATCTCCAACCATGATGGATGGCCGATCGACACGGCGACGTTGTGCCATAGACCCCCGGTAATTAAACCTTCCGCGGACCGCGATCTGATTAGCCACCATTATCCACAATCCAAACCTTGGTGTGCAGGTACCACACATGCGTATACCCTGATTCGCAATTCTATAATTCGTGTAAAAAAATAGGCTTCCTAAATTTTCCTATTTTTTCTGTAATTTGTATTGAAGTTTGGTTGTATCTAGCAAGTGCATTTTTATTGCTACCTTTTCATATATATTTATGCTTTTTCATATTCATACATAAACTTTTATATGTTCGACAACATATACCGCATTAGGAGTAGCTCTCTCCTCTCTCATCTCTCTCTCTCTCTCTCTCTCTCTCTCTCTCTCTCTCTCTCTCTCTCGCGCGCGCGCGCGCCTTTTCTGGATTTTAGGCCTAATTAATTGTTTGGTCTGTGAGTTCTGAACTACATTCATCACTTCGAAAACTTTTGAAGTTCCTCGGGAATGCCTCTCTTAACTAGAGATTACGAATCACATTTTTTTGTATATTTTTGCTCAAAAAATTTACGTCATGTTAAAGTGGTGCACCGGGTGACTTTAGTTTCAGCTCCACCTCTGGGTGGGACTATCTACAAGGTATGTACACGGGCGCATGCATAAGCCAAGCGTGTCGATGCTAGTGATCTCCCTACGGCGTACCACTATGCATATCAGCCCATGCTAGTATGGACTCTGAACTACTCCTACTTCCTTGTTCGAACTCCACCATCACTTGGCCTTATCGCCGGTATGGATCCACCAGACATCATCACCACCGCAACACATACTTCACAAAACAATATATACATTTATAAAGTTCGAAAAACACTATCCGCACAGAATTATAGAAAAGGGTCCACACCATTGGACATGCATGGAATTACTAGATTGTAGCTAGTATTTATTTGTCCCAGCTCATGCTTTTTTCTTTATTTATTTAGTTTAAATGTATCGATTTAGGACAATGCAGTTGCCCATGCATCTATCCTAGATAACTGGGTTCAGGCGAGCAGGAGTGAAATGCCACATACTTATTCTATATACCTCCATGACATGAGAGTATTAGCAAGAAGAGCTCCTCCTAGGGCATGGACACACGAGGCACTCATAGGCTCTCATAGCGCAGGTGTCTCTTCTTCTTTAGCCTCCTGCGGCGAGTGCCACTCTCCCTGCGAGACACAGTCTAGTTAGAAACACGAATCAGCGTTGGAATTTGGTTTGTGTTTTCGGTCTGCGTGGGACTCTTCAGGTTTTGGTTTTCCGTTTGCGTGGGACTATCTTCAAGGTTAGAAACACGAATTGTCAATCTCCCTCTCGGTGGGACTATATGTAAAACCACCAAGTGCTACCATGCTCACCAGTATTGGTTGTGGAACACCACTTTGTCCGCCAGCACATGCTTCCCATCATCGTTCCTATGCCACTGATAGACGGCGTGCGTCCTGTTCTTCAGCTGCAGGGTCGAGTGCCCATAACTGGCCTCCCTGAACGCGGAGTAGTCCGTTTGCGGGTCGTTGAACCTACAAGCAACTTTCTGAGGTTGGCCAAACGGGAAAGCCTCGCACGAGTTCAAAAAGGACTATCTAATCAAATATGGTGTACGTCATCTTTACCTCGAAGCGAGTCCTTCTGTGTTGCCTCCATCGCCAACTGTTATGTACACGGGAGCGGATTCATCTGGCACCGGGTATCGACTCCCCGATGTCACCTTGTAGTCCACATTGGATACACGGTGCTGCAAATCAACACTCGTAGCCGACATCTCATCGAGTCAGAGTAGACCATGAAATATCAAATACACAAAGTATGGTTTAAATTCATCGATTTTGAATAAAGTGAAGATTTTACCGATCTCTCGTAAGCATGGACATGGCCCGCGAATACCAGGTCCACATCGTACTTGATGAACCATTCCTCGAAAGCAACCCTCATGCTCTCGCCCTCCATATAATGTGCATCGTTGCTGCTGTACATGGGAACGTGCATGAGAACAATAAGCCAAGGTGTCTCCTCCCGGTCCACGCGCTTCAGTTCCTTCTTCAGCCACTTGTATTGAGGAGTGAATTTTACTGATAAAACCACATGCATGCAAGTTTACAAAACAAAAAATATACTCGCATTAGAATCGACATAAATAAATAAAAAATCCTCTACACTAGAGAAGAACATCCAATTGTCCAATCATGCATGCAAGTAGGAAAAGGAAGGAACTTACCGAATGGGGAATAGCTAGAGAGCACGATAATATGAGCCGATGCACGCCTGACTGCATACCACATTGGGGAGCTGCTCTTTGATGCCAAATATGGTGTTGCATATCTATGCAGATATGGCTTAAATGTAGAAGTTTCTCCCTGGAATACCAAACATAATTAAGATAGAGTCAAGAATTGATAAGGCAACATGATCCTTTTGAAAATAGAAATAGAGCAAAAATAAAGTTCAAACCCAACACACGCGCGCGCACGCATGCATGATCTAGGAATATGCATTCTGATTTACAAAATGGCCACAATTTGCTATTTCTAGTTCAAGAGAAGTATATTGTAAAAATGAAGATAATAAATAAATAAGTTATGTGTATATGCATGGCACATGAAAGTATTGCAACATTGCCAACGTCTTTGTCAATCCCTTTCAACATATAGTTACATAAGTTGTGACGTTATTGGGAATTTTTTGCGTAGTTGGGGAGATAACATACCAGATCAGGCATGTATTCTATCTCATGATTCCCAGAGTTCCACATCCATGGTTGATATGCAGTGCTACGTTCAACAAGTCGACCCCAAGAATCCCACCGACCGCCATCATTGTCTTCATATTTATCAGCATAAGACAAGTCCCCAACATATAAAACACTTTGTCCTCCACTTTTCACATAATGTTGAAGAGTTGAGAGTGAATTAAATGTTTGCCCCAGATCACCTAGCACAGTGAGCCAGAAAAAAATGAGACGAAATTGCCTAAATCGCTGCATTACTAAGTCACCTAGTGAGCTAGCCTTGATAACCTTTTTCTTCATCTTTCATTTTATTTCTTTTTCAATGTGATACAACAACGGTCGAGAATTTGCACACGAAGAGAGAATGCATATGCGTGAGCAGGAACTATTGGGTAACTTGGGCTAAATTGTTTGAGTAGTGCTCATGGGGAAAGAGAAAAAAAAAACTAGTCGAATTACCCGCTCATGCACCCAAGGTACTGAGCTATTTTTCCAAACTGCTTTCCAGTTCTTTAGTAGCTTCCGTCGGGAATTAGCTGGCACTCCATAGATACATCCGTTTGAACATTAACTAATTCCGGACAAAGGGAGTATTACTTAAGAAAACCTACTATGTAATCTCGTAATCTTAGCCGAGCCAATGCTAAGGGGCTGTTTGGTACTATGCCTAGGAGTGTCACACTTTGCCATACAATGTTGTCAAACTTGCCTAAAGTTAGTTCTTCAAAATGAGAGCCACAAGTTGGCAAGCCTATTGAAATCTTGCCGTATTTTTTGAGTGTATATGATGTGGGACCCTAGTGTGGCTTGCCTAAGATGTGACTTAAATCAAACACACACCTAAGTTGATCAAATTGGCCTAACCTTAGGTGTGGCAACCTTAGGCAAACTTAGTCTCAAACCAAACAACCCCTAAGGGTACGTTTGGTTTCCTAACTCAGCTAGCTTAGCTAGGCCAGGTTAATCTTGACGGTTCCGGCTAGAGTCGTCAAAAGCAAGACTTAGCGTTTGGAAAGACACAAAATTAAAGCGTTAACTGCCAAAGTGCCCACGTTCGTGTTTTTTGCCAGTGCGGGAGAGCCAAATTGGCTCGCCTCCGTTGGCAAGCTTTTTGTGGCGGTTAAAGGGTAAATTGCCTCCAGATGCTAGCTTTATTTTCCTAACCAAATGAATATCCTTGCCCGGCAAGGCTAGGAGCTGCGCTTGCCTAAGATCCAAACGCACCCTAAGTGACTTCGTAATCTTAACATACCTTTTTCATACTTTTTCCCGTCAGGTCTTAGAGAAATGTTGTAGAGATCTACAATAGTGTAAGGACAACATGTTCTGATTTTTATAAACAGAAAGTAATTAAAGAAGAGAACACAAACCTATGATGCCAAATGTGTAGGGTGCATCTGGATCAATTGCTGGAGGTGTTTGAAACCAAAATTCTCGAGCTGAATCTCCTGTTCCAATCTTGTAGTAATACTTCGTGTTATACTGCAAACCAATAAAGTAGAGAATTTTATGTTGGAACTAACTGGTACAAGATTGGGTACAAAACATAGTATCGTCTTCATTTACTGGAATATAAACAAACTCCGCGTCTGCACTCCACATACACTAGGAAATGGAAGACACAATTTGTGCAGTGGACATCATGTCCAAATAGAATAAACCTAGTACTCCCCTGAAAAAAAGAGAGAATGGATTGTATATATTTGAGATTTGGTGATTTTGCATATGACATCACTCCAACTTTACATAAATAAAACATGTCAAAATATTGCACTTTGAGCAACAATGTTTGGCTGCAAAAATTATGAAAACGGAAAGGAAGATAAAACTGCATAGGAATACAATGCAAACCTTAAGGACACAACAGGAAAAAAAGAGGTATATTACCTCAAGGCTATCAACAAGGCAGTGATGTATGTATCCAGATCGATAGTCGTAGAATGTATAATTCGTCATCCTCCCTTTGGCTTTCCGATCATAGTGTTTCTCCTGTTCACCGTAAAACACCTCACTCGTTGTGGGTTCCAACGCCGTAACCCACGAGATTATGACGGCTTTCCCGTCATAGTCACCTTGAGTGATATGAACCTGGTGACCAAACAGGCAGTGATTACAAACATCGAGTACATCACCCCAAATTTGTTAAAATGATGGACGAACCTGTTGTGGAGCGTTATGGCCTTTCGGAACCGCAAGAGACTCGTGCTCTAGAGGAATGCCGTCGGATGGAAACTCATTACGCACGTAAGAGCTCGTGCGGCCAGAGTAGGCGCCGCTTACCAGGCAGAGCAGGACATGCATTAGCAGCACCAGCGAGCCCCGGATCCTCATTTCGGAAGAACAACGGCGCCACCAAGTTGCCAACACCCCGTTACCCTGAAAAATGTACTGGACAGAGGATGTGTGAGAGGGGCGGACGGGCATTGGAGCGATGGAGTGAGGGCGGAGAGGCGGAGGCCGGCGGGGGATAAACACGAGGTGGCGTGGCATGGCGTGGGAGGGGGGGGGTGGAGATGGGGGGCATGGTGCGTGGCAAGCAAAGCCGTTGGAAAGCAAAAAAGCGGGCGGGAAGAAGACGACTGTCACACTGGCAAGCCGGCTCGTTCCCGTCGGTACAGTCACACTCATCACCCGTGCGGTGCGTGAGCTGGGGTGGTTGGTGGTGGGCCCCACCTGATGGCCCGGCCCGCGCGGTACATTCTTTGGTGGGCCGGGAGCTCGGGAGAGAGCGGGCCGGCTCGAATGAAGCCCGATGAGTCCAGGCCCGAGCGAGGTGGGCGGCTCCTTCCTCAGAAGCCCACGGGCGAGAGCATCCGGAGGACGGCACAGCAGACGGAGGAGACAAAGAAAAAGAAAAAAAAAAGCAGACGGAGGAGACGGGGAGAAGAGAAGCTCTCGTGCTCGCGCGACGACGACGACGGCGACGACCTCCGCCGCGGCGACGATGAGCCCCCTCCGCGCCCTCCTCGTCCTCGCCGCCGTCCTCGCGGCGTGCCTCGGCCCCGCGGCCGCGGACCAGCCCGGGTAGGCTCCCCTCGTCCCCGCCCGTTTTCCCTCTCCGATCCGATCGATCGGCGGGAGGCTGTAGCTGACCCCCTCTCTCGCCTCGCCCTGTGGTTGCAGATCCGTCGAGGGGTACACCATCGCCGGCCGCATCAAGATCGACGGTCAGTGCCCTCGCCCCCATGGTTTGAACTAGATGCATCTGGTAACTTCTGCGTGCGTGCGTAGGCGGGATCCAGCCTTCGTGCTCTGCTCGAACCTGGCCAATTTGGTGGAATCTGTCTCTGGGGCCTGTACATGGGCGCGTGATCCAAGTAGGGCCAAGCGTGTCGATGCCACTGATCTCCCCGCTGTACCACTATGCGTCGCCGTTGCTTAGGCAGCATGCTTACAGGCACATCACAGTAGCTGATTTCATCCAGCTTCATCTTTGAAATTCGAGCCGCGTTGGAGCTGTGCTGTGGCTGCTGTTTGTTTATATGCTGCATCCTTTTGTTCTGAGGATCAAAACCGATCGACAGATGTAGGAACATGTTTATTCGGCGGCTTCTTGTAGAGAGAGGGGAATTGACGAATTGTCCAGATCCACGCAGGCAAATCAGAGTGCCTTTCTGCTAGAGTATATGTTTGCTGATAAACGTGTTGGCACAAGCGTTCAAAGCCAATGTTTCTTGGCCAGGATTTGGAGTGTTTGAAAACGCACAAAGGAATGGATGCTGCATGACGTTTCTTTGGAAGTATTGGCTTAGTAAGAGCATTTTTAGCATGTGTATAACCCTCGGATTTTGGTGCCGTGTTATTTCAGCTCATTGTAAATTGCTAAGGCGGGTTACTATGTTGGTTTCCTTGCATTTGGATAATTGATTAGGACTTCAGATCTTTGTCATGCATCCTGCTTCTTGAAGTGCACTTAGAGATTATAAGTTCTCAATGTTTGTGGAGCTGATACCTACTAATGTTCTCCCGTGAGGTCCACCTGATGTTGTTTTGATCTGTTGTGCTTATAGCTGCAAGGGGCTTTGGTCTTCCAGCCAAGACATCAAACACGAAAGTGATACTTAATGGTGGTCAGAAAGTTACATTCGCCAGGCCAGACGGCTACTTTGCCTTGTATCCTACAAAAACATGTTATACCATGCCCTTCCAAATTATTTTGACTTCTCTTATGAGGGGGGAATTGCCTTTATTTGAATTTTGATCAATTTAGTCTGTTCTTTCATGCATCATTGTTTTAATATTGTCCATTTTTCTGAGGATACTGTTCTTTCTGAAAAAAAGAAATAAGAGAATCCTGCGGAGAGTGCAATTATAGTTTATTGGGTTTGTAAAAATGTTTCACTGTTGGCAGCTCATGTGCAACGTTAGCAGATCATCCTGTGCTTATTGTTACCCCTTGACCTAATATCCTTAAGCCACAACGTGCCTGCTGGGACACATTTGATCGAAGTCTCCTCACTTGGCTACTTCTTTTCACCAGTCAGTATTCATTAAAAAAATTCATTGTAATATGAGCAGAATGGGCCTAAACAGTTGATTCTCTATTCTGTTGTGTGATAGGTTCGAGTGGACATTAGTGCCAGGAATCCTGGGCACATTCAAGCAGCATTGACTGAAAACAGAAGAGTTCTAAATGAGCTTGTTTTGGAACCTCTGAAAGAAGAGCAATACTATGAGGTGTCTAATGCTATAGTTTTTGTTAGCCTATTTCCTCGCTGCTTGCTGTTATCAAATCCTTTCTTAACCAACCTATGTGTCTGTATCTATTTTCCCCAGCCGAGGGAGCCTTTCAACATTTTGTCCCTTTTGAAGAGCCCCATGGGTATGATGGTCGGTTTTATGGTCCTAATGGTCGTCGTTATGCCCAAGATGATGGAGAACATAGGTAAGTGGCATATAAACACATTTCAAACCTTTTACATCCAAGAAAAAACTAGAAGCTTCATGTTTGTATATTAAGCAAGTAGAAGCTTAGCAGATCAAGGCCCATGCTTACCACATATAACTGTTATAAACGTACAAGCCAAGATATAAAATTCAACTTTGTTGTGCATGTTCCATTTGTTATGGTTTGAGCCCATTCAGAGTTAATAGCAACATTAAATGACATGTTTGGTAATAATGTTTTCAAAATAGAAAGAAGTAACCTGTGCTGATTTGTATGTAGTGTGCCTTGTTATAATATATATGCACTGCAGAGTACTTGCCTTTTCAGCTGCTCTATCTACACTACATTGCTTGCTGCTAAATACTTTTTTGTGTCAGGCTGTTTGTTTCGTTTTAATACTATATATGGTTTTGTAGCAGTGACTCTTACAATCATAGCTGTTTGTTTCTCTAATCAGTTTTACTTTATGCAAAATACATACTGACAAAAACTAAGAGATGTTATCTAGTTTATTAATGATCTGTAATGTATATTCTTCAACGATACTTCCTAGCAATGATTTTCTGTCGATTTCGCTCATATACCTTCCTCACTTCCTGTCTGTTTTATTCTTGAAGATCCTGAGGAGATAAAGCAAGCTCAAGAGCAAATGAGGAACTCACCTGTTCCATCCTTTTCTGGCTTGCTAGCTAGAGCAAACAGCTAGATGTAGAACGTGGGACAGTATGTGGCTTAAGTTTATGATGCGACAAACATCCGTGCCAGACTGCTTCACACTTCCATGGGAGGCTGGGACAAGGTGGAAACTCTTTTGCCCACTTTTAATGTATTCTACTGTATTCTAAGATGTAATAGGTTTGTAATGGAAAACCTTGTGAAACACCTGGCTGAACTAGTCATGAATTATTTGATTTATATAGCTCACGTCGAGTACAGTGTGTCAACTTGTTAACCATTTGAATATTGGATGCCTTGCTGAGTCGTTGACTATCGGTAGAGACATCCTGATGCTGACCTTTGGTTGATCACAAACACCGCCAGAATATGAAAAGAAAAATCAGATACCCTTTTCGGTACGTATCTGAACTGATACTATGGCAGGCTCATGGTTGAACTCTTCTCCAGGGCTATGTACTTAGTCGGTTCCTGATAACATTTCGTAGGTACGAATTTGGCCCTCTTCATTTATGGATGATACTAGCTGTGTGGTCGGTCAGACAAAGTAGAGTCCATATCCAGCCTTGTCAGTATGTTATGGATCTGCCATTTTCTTTTCCTTTTTGAAAACTTCAATCTGTTATGATGATGCATTCCAGAAGCTATTAATTTTAGTTCGGGAAGATGACAGTGTCCCGCTCGCAGGACATGATTGCGCCTCACCTTGGTCTGTTCTTAGTGCACCCTAGCTAGCAGTTTGATAGCATGATATGGAACCTGTTACAAAGGCGCACAAGTGACGAGAAATTGGTAGGATATGGAACCTATTTTGCAAATTTGCAAAGTGCGAAAGTGACTAGAAACTGATTCCTAGTAGTAGTTCTGTAAAACCTTTTGTCTAATCATAAGAGAGACTTCTGATGACTGTAATTTTAGGACATGTGTGCATCTCTCCCAGAGAGAGAGAGAAGAATAAAGGTTGGTCTGCCACCTGCTTCATTGGATATGTGCACCCCTTTTCTGGATGCTGAAAATGACGTTATACTTGGGAGCTAAGGGAGTTAGATATGAAGAGGTGGTGTAAGATCTAGACGTCCACGCCTCTCCTAGTGCTTACTATAATTTATCTATTGTACACACAGTGTGTGAATGTGATCACCCTTCTTGATGCCTCCTCATTTTGCTTTTGTTTAGGTAGATCACCCTTGACCTGGTGTCCATCATCTAGAGACTACATGTAACATACCTATGCTTTTGTAGTCTAGTCATGTAGGAGTAAGTAGAACTTGACATGAAAAGTAAGTATAGAATTATCATGAAATGGACCTGGATCGGTCTCGTGACACGTGCCTTAAAGCCTGTAGTAAAAATTAATTTGAACCGTGAATTCGGTAAATTATCTAATCATAAGAGGGACTTCTGAATGTGATTACTCTTCTTGGTATTCTCCCCCTTTTTTTTAAGTAGATCACCATGACTTGGTGTCCATCTGGTGTAGTCTAGTCATATACGAGTAGGCTGAATTTGACATGAACAGTAGTATATTACTCTTACGAAATGGACCTGAATATATCAATCCTGACAACACGTGCTCTGAACCTGCGGCGAAAATCAATTTCAACCGTGTTACGGGAAATTTATCATATATTTTGCCGCCATCCCTGACCGAAACCCATAGCATAATAACCCCGGAAAATATACGCCTAGGACTAAAGTCTCCTCTAAACGGCAAGCTGGAAGTAAGCTAGAAACCGAATTATTTGCTGGAAACCCTCCTTGGGTTGACAGTTGGGCACCATGTGGTGACCAGGTAGAGCCACAGGACATGTTCTGCTAGAGAACAAGCTTTGCATCCCTCTCACTATAACTGCACACAGCT